TTAGAAATACTCTGGTTGCTTAGATTAGTTGATTTTTTTTATTTTATTTTGCAGCTATAGAATTTCAAACTTCATTTTCCCAAATTTGCTGGGGGCATCCCGAATCATTGTTGCTCAAGATCTGATTTGTTAGTGTTGAATCCACCAGCCCACCACCCATTGTTCATACAGTAGTGAAAGAGCAGTCTCAGCAACAGCAGGCAGGGAGTGAGCGCTTAGTGAGCTTCGCTTCACACAGACACACACACACACACACATACAATGTGTGTGTAAGTGGCTAGCGAGCCTGCAGGGAGAAGCAGGGTTTGTATCTGCACCATCTGGGCCGTCTCCACTCACTTCCTGTACCTCCACTTAGAGCCCTCTGCACTGAGATTTCCAGGTACTCTGGCTCATTCAAACAAGATATAATTTTCCATTTAAGTGTTTGTGAATCACAAGCCACAGTTATTTGCATTAACACCTTTTTGTTCCCCCTCAGCAGTAAGGGAAATGTATTTGTGTCTTTTGTTTATTTACACGTTTGTGCCCAAACTGGATAAGTCAGCAATAACAAAACTGACCTCTGACTTTAAAGCCTTTTTGTCTAATTTTCTTGGATGTTTCATGTGATTCATTATTTAGTTACCAGGTTGCTAACTTCTGAGCTCTATTTTAATTATTCAGTAATAGGAGATTACAGTTTATTGAGCTGTATCATCCTCCCTTGATTACAGTTTCTAAGGCCATATTTCTCCCTCTCKTTTCCTTCCTCCCTATCTCTCAAACTCAGCACTTAAGTGGTTTTACTGTAAGCTAATGATGAAGCATGAGCTGCAGCAGCTTTACCCTCTTAAACGAGGCTTACCTGTCACCGCGGGGTCAGGGGACAAGGAGGAGTGGTGGAATCTGCTTTATGATCTCCTCGAGATAGTTGGTTCAGCATGACTTTGTTTAAATTTCTGCCTCCTTAGCAGTAAACACTAAATATATATATAAAAAAATAATCAGCCACTTTTAAAAATGCACACATTATTTGTAGTGTTCGAGGAAGTATGTATCGTAAAATAAACTTTCAGTCAAGTGTTTAAAAGCTTTAAGGTAGATTTGATTTAGGATTATGCTTCCATCCGTTTCTTCTGTCCTGTGAAGCTGCATTTATTTAAATGTTTGCAGCTTCAAAATGTTTTGTCATTTTGGTCTGATATGTTTATAAAGTTTTAGCAGCAATGACACTAATCCTGCAGCTGCAACTAAGCTTTGAATAGAGCAGAAGACTTATGCCAAATAAACTATAGTCAGAAAGATCTATCATTTATTGGACTGTCAACAATATTATAATAAACATTGTAGAAACCTATCTGGATATATATTAAGTATTTATTTTTTAAAAATGTGGGAAATAGGAATAATTTTAAAATACCGATTCTAAAGAATAGAGCCATGAGAAAACAACCGTTCTCTCCATCTGTCCCTCGCCACCCTGAAAGAGTCCATTACAGTCATGGATTTGGATTCCCATTTAGCACTCCGTGTCTGGGACTTTAGTGGTTTTGTAGTTTTAAGTTATCATGAAGTAGAAATGACACTTGGTTGTCAGTCCTCAAACAGAATTCATTGTTTGCTCTTTTAATCACCATTCTCATCTAGCTGTTCTTAACTAATCTATAAATAAGACGGCCATCTCTCTTATCTCTCTTATAACCACCTTCAGTGTTCAAATAAAATATTAGGCTTTTATTTTGAAGTGGATACGTATTTTCCTGCCAGGTTAGAAAAGGGGTGAGGATGAATTCCTCAGAAAAAAAGAAGAAACATTGCTTCTGTTAAACATGAGGTCACCATTTTTAGTTCAGACTGTTTTGCGTGGAGAGTTTTTCTATTTTCAAAGAGAAATATTAGCAGTTATACTACAATTTTTTTGTTTCCAAAACTAAAAATTTCAATTGCTTTCTCTTGTCCATTTTTTGAGATGCTTTTACCGCATTCCAGAAAATGTTTTTAATTACAACCACAATACAGACAGAAACTTCCTTCCACTCTGTTTGTTTTGTTGCTAAATTTTGAGAAACCTTGTGGGAATATGAAGCCACAGACCTTTGATATCGAGGAGAAACTTGGCTGCAAACATGAAAGCGACACATTTGTTAGAATGAAAGGTAAAAATAAAACAATTAGTTCTCTGGAAAAATCCACCTCTTCCTGTGTTTTCTGAAGTTTCCACTGAAACGTCACTGTTTCACTGTTGGAGCAAAGCGAGTGACACAACCAGTGTTCTTTAAAGCTGTACTCCCAGTTTGTTGCATAACAACAATTCTGCATGACTGCAGGTGTTTTCCCTTTAGAGAAAGCAAAAAAAAATCTGCATGCTGGCTATGAGCCATTTAAATAATAGCTGGCTCCTACAATGTGGCTGTTGGAAGAACAAAAAAAACTTTTTTTTTTCTGGATTTCTTGACCTCATCATTTTTGCATCTGCTTTCCTTCCCTGTCATCATGACTACAGGTGGAAATGCACCTGTTCCCGTCAGAGGTTTCATCTAGTTTTACTTCTTCAAGTTCTCATTTTTATCCTTCATGTGTGTATCTCTGTCATTTTAGCCAAATATCTTGCAAAGATTTTAATGACTTCGACCACCCTTGCTGCCTCAGTCCATTCAGAAATCACACTGATGCAGCCAGAAGGTGACTTCGTTATTTTGATGTGAAGCACCTTTTGATTTTTATTTTGAAAGGCCCTGTATAAGTAAAAATTTTTATTTGATTACCTATATTTTTAAGATGTTTGCATGTAGGACGGCTGTGAACTTGTCTTTTTTTTTTTTTTTTTTCAAAAATGATGAGCTAACATTTGTTGTGGTAGTTGAGAGTCATCCCCAGCACATACTCGGAGTGCTACAAGTTGTGTCAGCTCTTTGCTTACAACTGTAGCCTTAACTGTTGGTTTCTACCCTGTTTAACAGATCATACAAGAAATTGAATCAGACTACATCCTGGTATTTATAAGGTTAAACCATAATAACTACTACTCTTTCAATTCTCAACATGAGATTTGAGTCTATAACTCTGGCATGAGAGGTGATGGGTGGTATGAGTTTCTTCATGCACTGCCTGTCCAAAAAAAAACAAAACAAAAAAAAAGAAGTTGCCATCTGGATTTAACTAAGCAAATAGGTACGAGCCTCCTACTGGGTAATTGCTGCATGGGCGATTATCTTTCAGCTGGCAACAACTTATTTAACCCCAACTGGTGCAATGAGTTGCTTCTTATTTCTTGAACAACCATGTGGAAAGACACATCCCATGGTCGTGGAAAAGATGTCAGTCTGTTTGGGAAGGGTCAAATCCTCGGCATGAAGCAGAGAAAACCTCTAAAGAGATTGCGGAAACTACTAAAATAGGGTTAAGAACTGTCCAACGCATAATTACAATAAACCAGAAGGTTAGTGGGGACCCATCGTCTTGGAGGATGCACCCATCATAGTGCCTACTATWCAAAYCTGTGAGGGCAGCGCTATGATCTGGGGTTGCTGCAGTTGATCAGGTCTAGGAAGCTTATCGAAACAATGCCACAGTGAGTACGTGTCATAATCAAAGCTAAAGGCGGTCCAACGAAATATTAGAGTATGATACCTTTTTTTAATTTATTTTTTTGTCCAGGCAGTGAATAATTCAATTGAAAACCTAAAACRCTGATGTTTATGGTAATAGCAATTTCGAACAAAGAAATTCCACTGTTTGAAAATACCAGAATTATCTCCAACAATGCATTTGCAACACTCGCATATTGTGAATTGCAGTTTTGCATTTCTTGGATGAATCTCATTTTCTCTCTCTACAAAGAGACAACTAAATACTATCATCCCACAAATTTGTGCTCGTTTCCACCTGGCGTATCGTATCTCTGAGARCGAGCCTCTAATTACTGCTAATTTTTGTGTGTATGTGTGTGTTGTGGGGGTAGCGGAGGTGCGCATTGCTTTTTTTAATAAATTCTCCAGGATCGACAGAGATGATGCTTCCTGCTGTGCTTCTGCATTCTGAACTACAGTCCCCCCCCCAACCACCACTCTTTTTTTAATGATTCTTTACTCTCTTTATCTTTTCTCACACACACACCCACGAGTAGCTGGCAGGGGGCCGAGAGAGATGATGGCCCCTTCAGGCAGGAGCAGAGTAAAGGAAGAGGGCTCAGGGCAAGAGGAGGCGTGATTTGGGTGAAGGGAAGAAAGCCAGACGTTCAGTTTCCCTTAAACCATGTGATCAGCGGTGTGTGAGCCTGTCTGTCGCAGACGACTGCCTGAGCAGGTTACTAATCACAGGGCTTTCCTCTGCGCTTCCAATATTTCCACATTTTCTCCTTTCCCCTCTATTTAACGTCTGACTGATAAGTCTCATTACATGTTTCCGAGGCTGTAACGAATGTTCTTTTAAAATTTATCGAGTTAAGCTTTATAAATCGGTACAGTGAGCTTCATATGAATRTCAATGTATTTTCTTCTACTAGCAAAAGGGTGGAAAAAAAAAGAAGTAATATCCAATAAGAAGTGTTGTCTAATCCTCTACTCTGGCAGTCACGCCTCCAGAAATCCATTTCAGATTTTCCTTTTTACTCTTGCGAAATGGTGAAGGTACACGGTGTACTAGAGAGATTGGACACTTGGGGTCGGGTGGTTGTGGGGAATCCATCACATTAACAATGCAAGCCACTGGGGTTTAGGGAAAGCCCTTTGGATGTAAAGAAGATTAAAGCAATTCATAAAAGTATAGATCTACAGACTGAAGTAATATCAGCAGAGTTACATCAGCACCAAATATTTAATTTAGCAAAAAATACAAACTCAGCTGTGCAAGACTACATAAAAACTGAGTTAAGTCGTTTCTGGTGGTTAAATCAAAAGTGTTTAGAATTAGATGTTTTCTAATACATTTGACCTGTTGAATTGTACAGCCTTTGTCTAATAAAAAAACTTGTTTCAGCCTCCAGCTGCYTTAAATTTTCTTTAACCGGGCCTCACCAGAATCCCTCGTGTTCAGCCTTCACTGGATGACCGGATCTTCCCCTCACAGCCTGGAGTCGCTATYTACAGCGTGAGTCTCTTTATTCAACCTTTGCATAAATAAAGTAGAAATAATAATAATAGAAATTCATCTTCTGGCACTATATCTGTATATTTTGTATGAACTGTATCATAAACGTACTGTTAGTATATTAATATTTAATGTAATATTTTATTAATTGTGCTTTTTATTTTAACACACAGATAATAGAGACTGAGAATACAATCATACATGTTTACAGTCACACAAGACAAATTTTATACCAACTTATGATCAGTTTTTTTATAACATTTTTATTTACAACAATAAGCTAAATTTAAAATTGTAGCTCAAATATTGAGATAAAATTGTCAGTTGTTGATTCAAGCGGTTTGTTAAAGTTTAGCTTGAGTTTGGTATTTGTGTACCAAACACTGTGATTGACATTGTTACAAAGAATTTAATACTAATAATGTTGTTTTCTGTAAATTTAAATCCAGTTTTAGTTTCATGTTTTTAAAAATCAAATTCGCTTGACACTTGTTTACTTAAATCTGTATAACAGTCATCTATTTATAGATCAGTTTATGTTTTACTTTTGTTTTTTTGTTGTTGATCTTGTAAATGAATGCTGTCAACAGAAGAAGTAGTTGGGAATGTTGTTCAGGAAACAAACTGAAAGCTGCTGAGAGGTTAAGGCGTGTCGTGTTTCTTTGTTTCACTTGTGAACAAAAAGATTCACAGAGATCCAGAAAATAGTTTCTGTAACTAAAATAAAGCAAAGACTCAACATAATGGGCTCACCCCTGTAACTTTATTAAGGTGATCACAGCGATCCTAAGGGGCTGAGGTGTTAAGTACAGCAAAAAAAAAATATGGAGACTGGCTTAACCACCGACTTATTGTCACTAGAACAAGTGTTTTAATGAGCTAATAAATCACCACCCCTATTCACTTGACTGACATTCATAATCACTTTGAATACAAAATGTAACAATAACAAACATTCATAAGCTGTTATTAAAAGCATTACAAATTACCAGCGACCACATTTGGTTTAATTTGTCTTTATGGATTTTAACAAATGGATTTGACAGCTGGGGTATTTACTGAACCCAAACTAAACCTTTGCACATTTATATTGAAAATACTGTTTTTTTTCTCTTGTTGCCCCATGATGATTTAATGTTTTTTAGCTCTGACATCTACAAGCTTACCATTACACCTCTGAGATACTTTTTGATGAGAATCACAAGGTTGCTTTTCAGTAGTGCAGTCATTTCTGAAATGTGGGAGGCATTGTAAGTAGCTCCACATTGCACAAGAAAATAAAAAGCCTTTTCAACTCTGAGCTTCTTTATCTGCCGCAGCACAACGGTGCCGAAAACAAAGATTTTTTTGAGATTTCTAAACTCTAAAAGGTTGTTTTTGTACGCTGCAAGAATGATGACACTGGTGGAAATAATCGGCGCATGTGGCATGAGATGGTTGCTGTGCTCATCGGACGTGGGGATTACTCAGTCACTCCCGTTTCCTCTCTTTCCTTCTTTTCACGTACGTTTGCCGTACTGCCGCTTACCTCCCCTCCCCCATTCCGTCACACTCTACTGTATGTTGTCAGAATGAGCTACTGGCCTGAAGTGGAGTAGGCCCCTCCCCTGGCAACAGCAGTTAGTCTTTTTATCCCAGGTCATCCAAGGGAAGTGGGCCATGTGGAGAAGCTGTAGAGACGCAACATAAGAGATACTGTAGATACAGTAGATTATATCAACAGTAACGCCCCTGTCCGTGACTTAAGTGCAATCCCAAATCAAAACAAAAGCAGGAATTCTTTTATTTYGACTCTCGTTTCATTTGCAGATGTAAACCCCATGTTTTGCATTTTCAATTCATTGCTGCTCTTCAGTTCTACAACATGCGTCAAAATCCATTCATTCTCAGTTCTCCTGCGATTTTCTGTCTTTAAGGTTGTTAACAGTGAAGCACTTCAAGGGTTAACATTCCATTCTTTCAATAAAAGCATTTTAATTTGTGCAACAGCATGAGGTGGAGTTACAACACCTGGCAAAAAGTATGGAATCACCAGTCTTGGATGAGCACTCAATCAGACATTTCATTCTGTAAAACAAACTCGGATCAAAAACATGATACAATAATAAGACCATTCCAAAGTGCAACTTGTTAGTTTTCAGGAACACTCAAARAAATGAAGAGAAAACATTGCGGAAGTCACTGAATGTTACTTTTATTGACCAAGCACAGGGAAAAATATGGAATCACTCAATTCTGAGGAAAAAAGTATGGAATCATGAAAAAGAGATAAACAAAAGACCATTCAAAGTACGTCACTAGTATTTAGTTGCACCACCTTTGGCTTTTAGAATGGCTTGCAGTCTCTGAGGCATGGACAAGATGAGTGACAAACAGTATTCTTCATCAATTTGGTGCCAGATCAGCTTTGCAGGTCGGAGCCTTCTTGTGGACCTTTTTTTTTTTCAATTTCCACCACAGGTTTTCAATTGGGTTGAGATCTGGACTATTTGCTGGCCATGACATCGACTGAATGTGTCTTTCTCCAAGGAATGCCTTCACTGTTTTTGCCCTTTGGCACGATGCRTTGTCATCTTGGAAAATTATTTCATCACCTCCAAACATCTGTTCAATTGAAGGGATGAGAAAACTGTCCAAAGTGTCAATTTAAACGTGTGCATTGATAGAAGAATGAACCACAGTCATCTCCCCAGTGCCTTTGCCTGACATGCAGCCTCATATCATCAAAGACTGTGGAAATGTGGTTGTTTTCTTCAGGCAGTCCTCTGCATAAATCTCACTGGAACGACACCAAACAAAAGTTCCAGCATCATCACCTTGTCCAATGCAGATTCTTGACTCATCACTGAAGATAACTTTCATCCAGTCGTCCACAGTCCATGATTGCCTCAAAGATGGTTTTCTTTTAGCTTTCCTGTATTAAAATCCCATTTCCTTTAGACGATTTCTTACGGTTCGGTCACATGCATTGGCTCCAGCTTCTTCCCATTTTTGCTTCATCTGATTAGTTGTACTTTTTCGGTTTTCAAGAAAATGGCCTTAAGTTGTTTGTCTTGACGCTTTGACGTCTTTCTTGGTCTACCAGTACGTTTGGCTTTAACAACCATTCCATGCTGTTTGTATTTGGTCTRTATCTTGGATACAGCTGACTGTGAACAGCCCACTCTGTAGCCAACATGCATGAAGAGTTACCTTCTTCAAGAAGTTTCACAATACTCTTTTGTTTCAAGAGACATTTCTCTTGTTGGAGCCATGGTTCTTGCCACTCCACTTCGTCCAGCAGCCCTCCAAGGTGTCATGACTGCAGGTGATTTTAACTGCAAACCAACGAGCAGATCTAATCTGAGGCAGGTGTCTATTTAGGGAACGGAAAGTGACTGGGTGTGTCTTTATTTTCTACCTCCAGTTTGAGTGATTCCATACTTTTTTCCTCAGAATTGAGTGATTCCATATTGTTTTCCCTGTGCTTGTTCAATAAAAGTAATTTTCACTGACTTCCACAATGTTTTCTCTTCATTTCTTTGAGTGTTCCCGAAAGCCAACAAGTTGCACTTTGGAATGAGCTTATTATTGTATTATGTTTTTGGTCTGAGTTTGTTTTACAAAATGAAATGTCTGAATGAGTGTTCATCCAAGACTGGTGATTCCATACTTTTTTTCAGGATTTGTATTACTTTTTGTTTCAGAAATCTCTGCAAATTGTCTACAAGGGACAAAGAGGACTGGAAGCAATTCAGTCCAGTATCTGTAGGCTTTACATTCACTTTCAGCCTTTTCTAAAAACACTAGAATGTGTGTTTTCATTGTATCAATGAAGAAAATTTCGATGCCCTTGGTACAATGCAGTCTTAAAATCATCATAGGTCAATTTATAAGTCTGTACATTTCTGTAATAACACTAAAACCAAAGAGGTACTGAATGCATTTTACAGAGGCACTGAAACAATCCCACACCAACACAGATCCTGAATTTTGGCCTTTTTCCTATCATGATTTTGCAAAGTTCTTTTTTTTTTCTCGAAAGCACAAAATGTTCTTTTTCTTTCAAACTCAATCTGGATGACAAATCTGTTTTACCACAATGCATGTTTCCTTTGTGTGATGGTTTAGTTTAGTTACCTTCAAACTTGAAGAAATCAGTGTCAGTCTAGGCAAGGTTAACATCGGGCTTGTTTCTTTTTGCACATAAAGTTTTAAACGTCCTGAAAATAAAACCTGCATTTTATTCTGCATCAGGAAAACTAGATATTTCCTGAATAACTTCTCTGTTTCCCAGCAACCAGTGTCAATCCTGGGCACAGTTTGTGCATGTTCATCTTTCTCTGCTTTTTGCCCAACAACTGTGGCGAGTGAACTGTATATGAGAATTCATATTGTGCTTCTTTAGTTTCACTTCATTTTGTGAAAGACGAGCAGTGCAAATAAGTGATAAAGCACACACTTAATGACTAATTTCACTTGTAAATTACTTGACAACAGCTTGACTGTTGAATGAAAATTTCCAAGCACTGCTAAGTTTCAGTGTTTCAAGATCTTAACATCACAACAGTATTAACCAATTCACTGACACCAGTTTTTCCTCAAACAAGTACATCAGTTTGAGTACTCACTGATACCGAGTACCAGTATCCAGTACTTAGTTAGAAATTAAACATTATAAAAACACCTTTTTAAAATTAGAACCTGGTACTAAATCGGACTGATATCTGATGTTTGTCAAACAAGCTGACTGTGATGTCACCTCAGCATGTTGCATCGACGGCATAAAGTGTTCACATAGGAGGTGTTCACAACCTTCTAATRAAGGTTGCATTTAAAATGTGAACATCCTTGCAAAAACATGGTATCGGGGCATTTTGAATGAGTATAATTACTTGTAAAAATACTGGTATCGGGCCCGGTGCATTCCTAGTATTAGATAAATAGTTTCACACAGCTATGCTCGTGCTACTCACCAATRTCTGTTTATTCAATCAATCGATAAGTTTATTCACTCAATTCAACAATTTCATCATTAACATTAACATACAAAACATTTTTCTTGTAACACTTACTGTTCTTGAGTGAAAAGGAGGCAGGAAAAAGAAAAACCTTGTGTAAACCTGCTCCTTTCTCAATAATTATAATTATTTTTATTTTTTTTTCATGGCCACATACTGTACATTAAATCAAGAATATAAATTGCAAACAATATCCCATTCTCCTCATTGCTAACTCATTAATCATTGTTTCCTTCTAAAGTGTTTTGAATTGATTTAAAGTAGAACATTTTTTCAAATCATCATCCAAACTATTCCATAATTTTACTCCATAAACCGAGATACACATTTGCTTTAAAGTAGTACGCACAGTTTTGCTTTTGAAATCATCCTTCGATTATTTCTGTCATTTGAACTTAAGACAAAAAAACTTTTGTAAATTAATTGGCAATAATGTATTTCTTGCTTTAAACATAACTAATAAAATTTTTCAATTAACTAAATCTCGTAGTTTCAAGATATATGACTGAATAAAAAATATTTGTATGTTCCTTAGCATTCACTATATAGAATTCTCATAGCTTTCTTTTGTGTCACAAAGGTTTAGTGTTGGTTTTATATGTGTTATTCCATACCTCTACACAATAAGTCAGATATGGAGCACCAAATAAGTAATATAATGTCTGTAGTGTTGATAATTCTAAAATATTTTTTACTTTATTTAGAAGTCCAATACTTTTGCATAGTTTTTGTTTTGTAGATTTTATGAGATTTCCAGTTAAGCTTATGATCCATGACTACTGGTTCCACTAGATTGTTATCTATGGACAATTGTAATAGAGTCATCTATTTTTGTTACTAAAAATCATAAATTTAGTTTTGTTCCAATTTATTGATAATTTATTGTATTTTAGCCACTCATTAAGTTTAGACATCTCACTGGCCATTTGTTCCATATGGTTTATTAAATAGAAAAATTAAAATAAAATGCTTTTTATGCATTAACTTCTAAATTAGACTTTTAAAATGAAAAATGAGGATGTCTGAATTTTTTTCCCAGTGCATTTAGCAGCAAAGATGTGTTGCATGATGTGTTTGAGGTTATTTGCTCTTTGAAGTTAACTGTTGTCATTGATGCTAAAGTGATGTACTGTTCAGCCCCATCTATAAACTCTTACTTGGTGTTAACCCTGAACTTTCCATTGGCCTTGATCAGTGAGGTTTGTTAAGCTCGACCTGGTTATTGCTCCACTTGCCCTCAGTCTATCACAGATGAGTAATGTAACGTGATTAATCGGAGGTCTAAGCATCCTTTCATGATGCAGTCTGGGCTTCGGCCCTTCCTGCAGCTTGCTGTGTCAGTATTTTGTCAACTGCCAAAGGCTTCATCGACTGCAGGTCTTCACCTCTGCACACGTTCAGGGAGTAACTGAGAGCACGATTTCCACTTGTCCGCAGGGAGGGGGACTAATCATCTGTTCAGTCCTACTATGCTGCTCCTTTGCAGCATCACTCTGTCTCATCTTTGTGTAGCCCTCTAACTGTCCTCCTTTATGTCACGCAGGTACCCAGGCATGCCGGTCCTACATTCACAGGTCCCGACATTACAAAGGGACACCCAAACTTGGCGGGAACCCCACCTGGTCATGCCCACTCCCCAGCGCTCTCTCAGGTATCAGTACCCACAGCTTCCCCATATCGCTACCCAAAGGGCTGGGAGACAGGCGGAGGGGTGAGTTTGTCAATTTGTCTGTGGCATCAGATTAAGTGGAGTAGTTTTTGTATCCTGTTTTGCAAACATTTATCTTTAAATCTGCTTTTTATTCCGAAACATTTTCCGGTTCTGTTCTCGGTTTAACAAAGAATCCTGTGCATGAATAGGCTGACTCATTGGAACAGTGTTTGTGCCGAATAGATTTAAAATCTAAAACTCCTTTCACACGTCGTGCACTGCTTTTTCTATTAATCTGAGAACTCAAAAGTGTTGCTTTCATGTCTGAATGAGCTGCCTGGTGGTTTTCTTTAACAAATCATAACCACAGTCTTAAAAAATGAAACTCGAGTAACATTTGCATAACAATCACGCGTYTAAACTGCCTCGGCTACATTAGCAGAGCAGCTCCACCTACAATGCTGGTTTAATTTCAGAGATATCCCACAGCCTGTTATTAAATTAATGAATTACAGCACTGTTCAAATGTACCTACTTTGTGGATTTCCTTGTAATTATTAGCTCCAACACCCACCTTGTTCCTCTCAGTGAGGCCAATAAATGAAAGAGAACAATTTGAGCTGCAGAGTCTTTCTAAATATATATCATTTTTATCTTCTGCTTCAATCTTGCTTTGTATTGTTTAAGACAAATCACAATGTGCTTGTTAGAATGATGCTAAAATAAAATGACAACTTTAAGTAGTGCAGTTTGTGAATAAAGCTGTCAAGAAAATTATTGTAAATTTCACTGAATGTCAAGATTTTTAAGATGCTGATTATGAGAAACAATTCTTGTCCGTTTCTGTTTATAAACAAACAAGCACCAAATGCTAGTTCCTTCATTTTTATTAGGATTTACAACCAGTAAGTCCTTTTGTAGGTAAAATAAGAAACAGTCTTATTAGTCTGCAATCAACAGGCAAGTTGTCATATCCATGTTATTTTTATGTTTCAAAACTATGAGGAATGAGCCCAGTTTAGAGATCACGGCTTAAATTGTAAACGGTGTCTTGTAGATTCAGAGGATTTCTTTGCTGTGGGAGTCTTTCTTCTCGTTTAGATTACTGCAACAGTCTTTTTACATGTCTAAACAAATCCTCCTTGACTCGGCTTCAGTCTGTGC